TTTCACTTCAGTTAAGTGAATGAGCTCAAATTTAAAGAGATTCAAAAATAACTTCCAGACCACCATCACTGCCTTCACACAGTGTGAAACGAGTGTTATGTAAGAGGCGAAGCCAGCCCAATCTTATTTTTGTAGCATGTCTCCATTTCCATTCCCCAGTAACAAACACAAACTACCTTGAATACATCCTGCCTGACCTCTGGGGCATCCCTGTCAACCACTTACAGCCATTCCTCCCATCTGTTATACTAAACTTAATCCAGGACTCTCATACCTGGTAGTGAATTTCCAACTGTCCACCCTTCCTGATGGCTAAACCATCCATCCCTTATACCTTCTTAAGACATGAATTGGGGCAGAGAATGTGGGGGGAGGCGGGGGAATGAGTGTACAAGGGCTGGGAAGTACATAGCTGGATACTTTAAAAAAAGTAGGGAGATTCTTTCTGGGGAACACTCCAAAGGTGTCTGCTATTCTGGGTGACTCCAAGACTGTTTCAGACAGTAAGGCTATTACTAGTACACGCTGCAAAGTATATCAGCTCACTCTTAGCCACAGAACCACCAATAGTTCTAGCTGTTGCTGAAAAAACGGAATCAATCTGGTTTCTTGAAGGCCTTTCAATGCTGCTTGTCTGGAGCAGAACACTTTTGCAAATCATCTCCAAGTATATGGGTAATTTATATTCTCCCTGTCACCTTCCTTTATATTTTCCTACACATTTTTCCAGGCTTAAAATTCCTGGCTGTTCTACTTGTAACAACAGATCTGTCAAGGAGGAAAGAAGCTAGCTAATGGTAGGCATGGTAATAGGCTTGAAATAAATGTACTGGAAGTGGGGATGAAAAACAGTGTAGTGGTTAAGTGAAGACTCTGAAGTCAGACGGCTTGCTATGTGACCTAGAGCAAATTATTTAAATCTCCAAGCCTCAGATTACCCATCTGCAATCTATATACATATAAAAGGCTGAGTGGCCGAAACCGGTTTGGCTCAGTGGATAGAGCGTCGGCCTGTGGACTGAAAGGTCCCAGGTTCGATTCCGGTCAAGGGCATGTACCTGGGTTGCGGGCATATCCCCAGTAGGAGATGTGCAGGAGGCAGCTGATCGATGTTTCTCTCTCATCGATGTTTCTAACTCTCTATCTCTCTCCCTTCCTCTCTGTAAAAAATCAATAAAATATATTAAAAAAAAAAAAAAAAGGCTGAGTGACCGTCCGGTACATGATACGCACTGACCACCAGGGAACAGACGCTTAACACAGGAGCTGCCGAGCTGCGGTGTCTTGGCAGCGGTGGTTCTCAGGTGACAACCCTGGAACCAGAGGGGAGGGTGCCTGATTCCTCACTGGGCCGTGTGATTCCACCTTCGGCCGTCGGTTATGTTGTTTTTATATCATGTTTTTGTTGTTTTTATATCGTGTCTTTGTTGTTATAGCATGTTGTTGTTTGTTTATTAATCAACTTATATATTATTTTCATATAAATTTTACTAATTTTCTTTCATCTCTTACACTTCTATTATAGAGAAAGGGTGAAGAGAATTATTTCTTCTAATTAATTTCCTTTCAATGTGCACGAATCCATGCACTGGGCAACTAGTATGATTATAATAATTGTACTTCATAGACTGCTGTTATAGACTACTGTGAGATTTAGCTAAGACAATGCATGTAATTGCTTATCCTAACACATCATAAATGCTCCAAGATGGTTTGTTGTTATTATTTAGTATTTTAACCAACTCTGCTGGCTAGGCATTACTATTCCCATTTTACAGATGAGGAAACTGTGGCACAGGTGGTATCAGGATCAGAATCCAGAACTACCCCAACTCTGGAGCTCACGTTCTTCCTATCAGTTACTGGACATGTTTTGTGACTTTCAAAGAATGAAAAACTCTAGGTTTGACTCTCTCAGGAAACTGAAATTTCTAGATTGTTCATTAGTAATAAGACAAAGGGACTTCAGGAGGACAAAAAATTGGTTACCAAGCTATAATAAAGGCCTGCACCAGTACTTTGAAAACAGATTGGAAGACATAGGAGATGGTTAGGAAGGACAGTTGACTAACAAAACCGTATGAGCTGCCATTCCTGTCATTCCAGACAATAAACATTTAGAGTCTTTGTCATTAAATTTGGGAATCCTAGGACTTCATATCCATCTCTTGGAGAGATATAATACCTACTAGAATGGAAGCAAAATTAACCCTTTGTCCTGTTGCCATCCAGAAGCATGTACATCACATTTCAGTCAGGAAAACAAACCACAGAAATACTCTGCACCCTAAGACAAACCCAAGAAACCTGTTTAAGTCTGCCCTCCAAATAAATCATACCTTGAACATTTCCTATAAGTTACAAATGTCTGGAGATAAGACTTTAGTGATTAAGGCCCTGGTCAGGTAGCTTAGTTGGTTAGAGTCATCCTGATATGCCAAGGTTGCGGGTTTGATCCGCTATCAGAGCACACACAGGAATCAACCAATTAATGCATAAATAAGTGGAACAACAAATCGATGTTTCTCTCTCTCAACTAAAAAAACCAAACCTTAGTGAATAAGATAATAAAGCGAGAAAAGCTTTTCCATCATGAACACACTAATGTAAACTTGGAACTCTTGGTAATACTGCAGTTTTTTCCATTTAAATATGTGTTCAGTCCTTATGAGGGCTGATTCCTTCACCCCCTTTGGCAAGTGAACTTTCTATAGGTTTTTGCCTATGTTTTCCTTTCATATGAACATATTAAAAGCTTTGAAAAGTCCTGCGGAAAAGAAACTTTCATTTAGCATTTCTAAAACTTCCTTGGAGGCCATATAGTCTACAAGAACATGGACTCTGATGCCACAGCTCTGCCACTTGGAAGCTGAATGATATTGGGTAATCATTTCAACATTGAGGCTCAGATTCATGATCTATGGAATAGTCCTGGTTGCTAGACTATAGCAATATGGCTGGTAGAGCACCCAGCATGTTGTAAGCCCCCAACAGAAACGGATTGTATTTAAACAGAAGTGATCCCTTCCCAACATTCCAACTCACTCTCAGTTTACAAGCAACATCCTGCAGGACACCCGTTTGGGAAACAAAGACTAAAGCTTTCAGGTCAGGCCATCTTCTGGTACAGAAAATAACTAAAATGATGCTGATTTAAGTTCTTATTCCTTCAACTAGATGTGAAGTTTGCGGCAAGTCTCAAGTCTTTCTGAGGATAAGGTTTCAGTATCCGTAAAATTAGATACTGCCCAGAGTTGAGATTCGATTATAAAACATTGTATAACTGTGCACTTTTTTGTGAACCCATCTTAAAAGCAGTAGCCAGAATCTGCTATAGTCCACAATGACTAAGAAATTGCTCCAACAGGGATGTAAAAATATAGAGTCACATTAAAGAGAGCTGGGGCTGCCAGCCCACAGGAAGGCCTTGCACGCCTTATGCCTCAAGCCTTTGTAATGTTAAAACAGGACAAAATAACCTTTACTGGGCCTAAAGCAACATTGTGCCCCAAAGAACCCTTTGCAAGGAAAATATGAAAGCAGCTATGACTAAGGACTTAACATTAAAAACACTATCTAGAATTAGCATCACAATGTTAGCTTACCTGCATCAACAGAATGCCTTCCCTTCTATAGATGTCATTGTTCCCCTTCACCTTCTCCTAAATACCCCTTTTCTTTGTTTCCTAACTAAAACACTATGTGGGTTTCTGCCTGAATCAGTGATTCCAGAAGAGCCATTCTTTTTTTTTGAAATCTCAAATAAATGTGTATTGCCGCTCACTCTGAAAAGGCCTTTTAATTTTAGGTTCACTGGGGAAACTATACAAATAAAAATAAACACACACGTCTTCACAGAAGACTTTCTAGTACAAATAACCTAGTGCAAATCTCTGACAACTGCTCAACATAAATCAGCTGGGCCTTGGTTACACTGATTATACAGCTAATTATACACTAACGCTAAAAAGAAAATGTTTTCGGTCACTTCTCAATTATTCACACTGGAGAAGAGAAATAACAATGTAAATGATAAATAAACAGTTTATTACATAATCAAACTAACATTCTTTTCAGCAATGCTTCCCAAACAGGTTTAGCTGAAAACAGTTTATTAAAATAAAAACGTGTACTTTCCAAGTATCAGTTCAGCAAGAGTAGGATCCCAATCCCGCTAACGCACAAGCTGACCAAGAAATCACGGTGTTACACAACCACCCTCTCTCCCTGCCACCCGGTCCTGACTTTTCTACAGCCATTCATCCATCGCCGCCGTACTTCCCCACGTTAACGGGTCGTCTCCTAAGACTGAGTAGCACTTACCCTCTCTCAGTCTGGTTCCTGCACTGCAAAATGGAAATTCTGTTTGCCTAACAGCGTTATTGTGAAGTCTAAAGACAATGAATACGAAGGACTTGGCAATTTGAGGAGCAACGAAACTTTCCAAAAATCCTGCCTACGGTTGCTATCTTTGCGAACAACAGTGCTTACTTGCTTCTTTTCTGCAAGTTTAGGTCGGGGGTCTTCGAATTCGCAGAGAACCAAGGCCGCTTTCGGGCCTCGGCTCCTCCTCGGAGGCCCTCATCGTCGATTAACAACCCCCTCCTGTTGTTAAACGGCCCTTCCGCGCACCCTCTCTCCAACCCGCGTCCCCTCGTCCGGCTCGACTCTGGTTCCAGAGCCCTCCTCCCGGGCCCCGCACCCCGCACCCGCACGGCCTGGCTCGCACGTCCTTCCAGCCACAGGGGCCACGCTTCCGACCAGCACAGCCCCGCGCTGGCCTCGCCCTGGGGCTCGGTCGCGAAACACGGACACACACCGCCGGGTCCCCGCCTCGGGCCCAAAACGCCGGACGGTGAACACCTGAGCAACCTTCCACGAATCCGCTCCAGCCTCAGTTTCCCCGGCGGCAGCACCAGCGCGCACTCGTCTCCCAGGGCCCCGGGGGAGAGGCCCCAGACGGCCCGGAACTCCGGGACCCCGCAGAGCCGCAAACTAACCTGCAGGTGACCTGTTTGGTGCTCATGGTGGTCGAGACAGAGGGCCGTGGTCGTGTTGCCGCCTCTCAGTCTGGCCGCCGCCGTCGCTGCCTCGGACCTGCCCCTCCCGCGCAGCCGCGTCACGACGGCGCACGCCGCCTCCTCCGCCCGTGTGCACCTTTATAGTGCCGGCCGGAAACCTCGCCTCCGTCACAATTGGTTCCGCCTCGGGGTGGAGGCGGGGCCGATCCCCAGTCCCGCGTTATTCGTCCCGCCATTTCCAAGCCTCCCGGGAGGGCCATGGCGAGTCCTATCCCGTGTGCTGTTAGTTCCTACGGGGCTGCCCCATCTCCAAGCGCATTCCTTAGCGACTCTCGCGTCCCTAGAATCACCTCGCCCCGCTGGAGGCTAAGCTCCCGCCTCTCCTCTGCGCATCTTAATCCCAGACACCCCGACCTACATGTCAGTTTACACTCCCGACCCTGTTCTCAGGTTCTGCCTCAACTGTTCCCGCCAGACCGCGCCTCCCAAGTAAGGAGTCCCTTAGACCTCGCCCAAGTGCTCCTTTAAAAATCTCTACTCGCATCCCAAACTTTAGTCATGTTCTTTCCAGGCATTCCTCTGCTATTTGTCTTCCATTTCCTATGGTGGAAACCCAGAAAGATCATTTTTTTAAAATATATTTTATTGATTTTTTACAGAGAGGAAAGGAGAGGGATAAAGAGACAGAAACATCGATAGAAAAACATTGATCAGTTGCCTCCAGTACATCCCCTGGGGATGTGCCGTTGACTGGAATCGAACCTGGGACCCCTCAGCCTGCAGGCTGACGCTCTATCCACTGAGCCAAACCGGTCAGGGTCAGAAAGACAATTCTTGATATGTCCCTCTGGTTAGAGAATATCCTGCAGATCCTGTTCTCCAATGAATCCTCTTGTCTCCATTTCTACTTTCATAGTTCTAGTCTGAGCGACCCTCATCCTCGCCTGGGCCCATGCTCTTCTGGCTTCTGCGCCTGCCCTCTTCTAGTCTGTTACACAAAACCTTCCTTTTTATAAAAAAAAAAAAAAGTAAATCGGATCATATCATTAAACTCTTTTATCCATTTCAATGATTTCCTATTGCCTTTAAAAGATTTTTAAACATTGAAATATAACAGACAATGCCCTGACCGGTTTGGCTCAGTGGATGGAGCGTCGTCCTGCGGACTAAAGGGTCCCGGGTTCGATTCCGGTCAAGGGCATGTACCTGGGTTGCGGGCACATCCCCAGTGGGGGGTGTGCAGGAGGCAGCTGATCGATGTTTCTCTCTCATCGATGTTTCTAACTCTCTATCCCTCTCCCTTCTTCTCTGTAAAAAATCAATAAAATATATTTTAAAAAAAGAAATATAACAGACAAAATACATACACCCCATGAATTTTACATATGAATACACTGATGAAACCACCACCCAGATAAAAGAACATTATCAACACCCAGCTTCCTTATGCCCCTTCCCAATCAATAGCTCCCAAAGATAAGTGTAATTCTCACCTCAATCATCACAAATTAGATTGTTCTTGACCTTGATATAAATGAAATAATTCAGTATGTACTCTTTGTCTTCTTTTGACCAACATTATACCGGTGAGACCTATATGTAGGAACAACATATAGCTGGCAGTGTTGATCTATACATACTATAAGAACAACATATAACTGTATGTAGTTCTTTTACTTTGCTTTTGTAAAAATATTGTCTTCCAATGAATGAGCATAGTATATACTTCCAATTAGAACTTTTGAAATTTCTCTCAGAAATTTAGGAACTACATTGGGAAATTTATCGTTTTCAGTGTATAGGTCTTTCACAACTTTTATTAGATGCATTCCTAGGTATCTAGATGGGTTTTTGGATGCTATTTTAAATGATATTTTTAAAAATGTCCTAATTGTTGCTTGTTCCATGCTATATTTATATATTTTCTTTTTAAAAAAATTTATTTATTGATCTTGAAAAGAGAGTGGAGGAAAAGAGAGAGAGAGAGAGAGAGAGAGAGAGAGAGAGAGAGAGAGATTGTTGTTCCCCTTATTTATGTATCCATTGGCTGATTCTTTTGTGCCCTGATCAGGATTAAACCCACAACTGTGGTGTATCAGGACAATGCTTGAACCAACTGAGCTATCCTTTATTTCTTTTTCTTGACTTACTGCTGAGAACCCTCAGTGTAACCTTAAATAAAAGTGGTAACAGTGGACAACCTTGTCTTGTTCCTGAATTCAGGGAAATTATTTAGTATTTCGCCATTAATTAAAATGTTAGCTCTAGGGTTTTTGAAGCTATTTATTATCAAATTAAAGAAGTTTCTTTTTCTTTCAAGTTTTCTTAGAGTTTTTATCATGAACATGTCTTTTTTAAAAATCAAATCCTTTCCCATCTATTGAGAAAGCTATATTGTTTTATTCTTTATTCTGTTACATTATTCTTTCTATAAATCATTCGATTCTCTTTGTTAATATTGTGTTTAGCATTTCTTTATCCTTGTTCATGAGAGGTAGTGGTCTGTAGTGTTCCTTCCTCAGAATGTCCATGTCAAGTTTTAGTATCTGAGCTATGCATGAGTTTGGAAGTCTTCCTTCTTTTCAATTCTCTGAAAATGTCTGTGTAATGTAGGTATTCATTTTTTCTTAAATGTTCAGAATAATTTACCATGGGAGCCATCTCATCCTGCAGTTTACTTTAGCTTTGTTCATTTTCTGTATTGTACGTGTGATTTTTACTTCAGATTTCTGTTCTAATCTTTATTATCTTTCCTTTTCTATATTTTTAAGTTCAAATTGTTCTTGTTTTCTAGCTGCTTCTTCATTAAGTATTTAAAGCTATAATTTTCCCTCTCAGCCCCCTTTTAGTTGTATTTCACAAGTTTTAATGTCATTACGATTAGATTAGAAATATTTTCTAATTTCCATTGTTATTTATTCTTTGACCCATAAGTTATTTAGCAGTATGCTGCTTAATTTCTAAACTACTGGGAATTTTCTGGTTAGCCTTTTCTTATTGATTTCTTTTTATTGCTAGTATAATCCCACTGTGGAATTGCCTGTTATCCTTTTAGTTTGGTTAACTAGGGTAACCTCTATCTTTATTTTTACTGTGCTGTTAATTTTTTTATGAGCAAGATTACTTCTACAATATAAAGCATCAAAAGAGAGTAACCTCAAAGTAAGGTTACTTATTCAAAACCAAAACGATATAAACTTTGCTAGAAACACAAAAACAAGTGAGGATGCCTAATTCCGAGAGGCGCATAGACTTATGACTAATTAAAGGACAGTGGTCAGGTGGAAACGTGAATCCAGCGCCGCACGGCACGGGGACGCCGGAGGAAGCGGAGAAAGTTCTACAGAAACCTAGGGCTTTACTGGATGAGTGGGAGCTGGCTGCCAACAGTTGCAAAATGTACAAAGGCTGGAAAAACAGTCTGGTAAGCAAGCACAAATGGAAAGGAAAATGAAAGCTCTTTAGGACGCTAGTTTTAGGGGCGGCCTGGTTACTGTCCTGGTTAATTCTACCGGGTTTGGCTCTGAGGCCGTCAATCAGAATGACGTCATTGCTGATCAGGTTCCTCGCGCTGCGGGAATTCGCTACCTGTGCCATCAGGAAAAGGAAGTCTGAGGACACCGCCCCTGGCTGCCCAGGACGGGAGAGCCATGCAGTGCGCAGCGGCCGGAAAGCCTTTAATTAAGTTCAACCATTGCAGGAAACACATCTACAGCTTCAGTGTGCCGCGGTGCTGCCCCCTCTGCCGGCGGGATGTGGGCTCCAGGAAGCTGGAGGAAGCACCTGTTAGCATCTCCAATCCGTTTGCCAATGGGCATCAAGAAAAGTGTTCATTCCTCCTCAGGCCAACTCAAGGGACGTTTCTTAGGTAACGTCAGTGTTTTTTAAGTGTTACATTGAATTGTGCAAACTTTCCTTCTGTGTTATAGTCACTAAAACCTTCTTTTACAGTGTGAGTGAAGTGTGGTGGGTAATTCTTTCCAGTTTTTTGGCATTTAATTCTAAAATGTAGGCCTATTTGTTTTATAGAAATAGACGGTGTGCATACTTTCCTGGAGCGATAAGTGCAAGAATATATGAAGGTCAAACCTACTTATACAATTTTAAGAGTGAAAAATCCATAGTCTGGAGACTTACTTCACCATAGATTTTGAGCTAAGAGGCTAATTTGAAAAAATGACACAGCAGCCAAGCTTACCAAAATACCTTTATGTGAGTTACTTTGTATTCTCTCTGACAAGCAGGGTCAATGTACGGAGCCTGAAGACTCTTTTGCATGGAGGTGAATTAAAGTGGAGAGTGGAGCTGGTTTATTTCTATTGCAGATACCACCTGACTTTCAGATTTCAGAAATCAAAAGAAAGGATTGTGCCTCCTGAGAGTCCTTGTGGGGTTTACAAATGGACAAGCCTGGCTGCAAGACAGCAGGGATGCTACTGAATGATGCACATGCTTTAGGAAGCGGGTCCATGCGCATCATCCCGGTCTAATGCTCCCAACTCTCTCATGCCTTCAGGTGTGCTTGGGATGAGAACATCAGAGTTGACTATTCACTTCCCAGCTAACTATTGTATGTCACTAGCCCTTCACTTTAAAGTATGACAAATACCTGACTGTACAGGCTCATAGTTGACACCCAATAAACATGTGTTGCAAGACTGAGAAATAACTGAAGGAAAGAAGGGAATGAGGGAGGACATGCTAGGATTTAGGCAGGAAACCAAGGGCAGTGATGTGCTCAGGGTATTAGCTTGGGGTAGAAAATTCGGTGGGTGTTGCGCTGTCATCAGCCACCCAAGACTATTCCTGTTTTTCTCAGCTTCATTTTCATTTCATTTCTTTTTAAAAATATTTTTATTGATTTCAGAGAGGAAGGGAGAGGGAGAGATAGAAACATCAGTGATAAAAAAGAATCATTGATTGGCTGCCTCCTACACATCCTACACTGGGGATCGAGCCTGCAACCAGCGCATGTTCCTGACCAGGATTTGAACCGTGACCTCCTGGTTCATAGGTAAACGCTCAACCACCGAGCCACACCTCATTTTCAACCTCTGGAAGCCCCAGGGTCTCAAAAAAACTCAAAGTGGCTCCAATAAGATGACCTGAAGGAGACTGCTCTAAAGAGATGGGGAAGTCATGTGTGTCCTTGGTCATTTTAAAACCTGCAACTGCTTGCTTTAATGAGGAACCAAATATTCAGACCTGTGGCCTGAAAAGGAGCTTTATCATTTAAAAATAACCTGTGTGGCAGGCACTCAATAGATATTTTATTCTTACAACCAGCTCACTAGGAGGCTTATGATATTCCCAGTTTATAGTGAAGGAAATGGATTAGAGAGAGTAAATGACTTGTCCAATGTCCCAGGGCTAGTAAGTGATGGCCTGGGTCTGTATACGAAGGTTAAATTATACGGACTTATACATCTAATGTCCAGTCTCAGGTAAATAATAATTCCTGGAAACAAGGGCTGTCCAAGAGAAGTGGGTGTGGCCACAGGCTACAAGACCAAAATGGGCCATATCAGTTTGGGAGGCAGAATCCACTGAGAGGCACTCAGGAGCCTCTCACCCATGTTTGCCTGAGGAACAGAAAAGGCGGAGAGAATAAGGTGCTCCTTCAACAAATCACCTCTGGGTGGGCTCCTCTGCCAGGTGTTATGCTGACTTTTTGCTCTAGCAGGACTGGCCTTCTAGCACACTGGCCTTTAGTATTGGGGTGGGGCAACAAAATAGATGGGGATGGGGAAATTTTAGATCTCAAATGTGGAATTGGCCTAACCAGCTTTGAAACAGGGCTTTTACTAACCTGGACACTGTTGGCAATCTGGCACCAGGCAAGCGAGGAGGCCACTCCCCCACTCTAAGTACCAACTCTTTGTGCCAGACATTTGCAAATGAGGAAAAAATATTTGTTTCTTTCAGAGACTATGATGGAAGGTCTGATCTTCATGTTGGAATAACTAACACAAATGGTGAGTGCATTTTCATATTTTTTTAAAGCTTAAAAAGTCCCCAAAGTATCCAGACGAGAGTGGCATTTCTAAAGAAAAGTGATCGTGCAACTAGGAATTCCTCTGGTCCCTGGGTTCTCTTGCTGGACCATGAGGTGAGTGATGCTACTATCCCCCCAAATGAGAAATACTTGACTGTACAGCAAAGTATTACTAACAATACTAAATATTTGAAAAAAGGTCATTAATGTTTTCTCAGCCAAGAGTGACAGAAACCTTTCAGTTTTTTGTTGGTGTTTAAACTAGGAAAAAACAGAGTTCTGGAGAGATTGAGTTGCCCAAGACCTCATCGGGTGTGGGAACCAGAATCCGGACCCAGGCCCTCTGCTCTCCAATGCTGTACTCACTCAGCCCACTGCTACTGGGTCTTCACTCTCCAGGGTCTCCAGGAATTAGGCAGAAACCTCTGGATAAGTCAGGGGATATAACACCTGAGCAGGTGGGGGAGCCTGCAGCAGTTTTCTGTAAAAAAAAACAAAAACAAAAACACAGCAGCAGCATGTTTAAATAAAATAGTCCTTTTGGCCAGATTTAGCTCTGAGGGCACAGAATCTGCAACCCCTGAACCCAGAACATCCTTGTCTGCAGGAAAAGGGCCTGGTGAGCCACTTGTAGGAGTTGTAGGCCTGGGAATGGAGAGCAAGCCAGCCGGGTGAGCCGTTGTCCACCTCCTTGAGGCAGGAGAAACTGATACTGTGAACAGAAACCTAGGACTGGGTTTTTGAACTCAGAGTTACCCATGTGAACAGTAAACTTTATCACCAGTCTGAACACTAGAAATTTATTGCTGATTGAAGAAAAGCCAGGCCCATTTGTAAACAGAAAACTTCAACAAAAATATCTGGAGATGATTATCCGGGTGCCTATGATTGTCTCTGTTTCCTGGGGGTGACTCCAGAGGGCTGAAGAGCAGGTGGAGCAAGAACTGGGTTTCCCTGAAGGAACTGCTTTGCAGAAAGCAGGGGAGGCAGGGGCACCGTAGCCTCTCCTTAACTCCAGGCAAGACCTTCTCTAAATCTCCGAGGCGAGTGGCTGCCTCCTGAGCTTGATGATCCTGGAGGAAGGAGGTCCCAGGGCCTCTCGGGGCCCATTGCTAATTGGCAGGAATCAGAAAGTGCAGCCTGGGCCTCCGATACGTCAGGTTACTGTGGGGCTGCTGTCATTTTCTGACAGCACCCTTTCACAGAGGTGCACGCCCCTCAAGCTTCTGCATGACCCTGGCTTTGGTTGCAGGAGTCGTCTATAATTACACTATGCACGGAGTCCAGCGAGATGGAGCAGGCTGGGAGCAGAGTATAAGTGTCCCATTATTGCAGCCCGGCATGTTTGGACTGATGGACCAGTGGGACAAGTACCTGGAAGACTTCTCCACCACGGGGGCCTGGCTGCCTCACAGGTATGGGACTGCTGAGACCAACTGCTCCCTGGCCCGCATTTGCCACACAAATGTGATCAACTCACAGAGGACGCTGAGCGGCGTTTAGTAGTAGCACCTGTAACAGAATTTAAGCAGGGGTTTCTTCAGAGGTGAGCCAGCGTATATTACATATAATAAAAGGGAAATATGCAAATTGACCTTAACACTGAACAACCGGGAACGACCAGTCACTATAACATGCACTGACCACCAAGAGGCAGATGCTCAATGCAGGAGCTGCCCCCTGGTGGTCAGTGTGGTCCCACAGGGGGAGCTCCGCTCAGCCACAAACCCTGCTGACGACTGCAAGCGCAGTGGTGGTGGCAGGAGGCTCCTGGACTGTGAGGGCGCAGGCCAGGCTGAGGGACCCCCCCAAGTGCACAAATTTTCGTGCACCGAGCCTCTAGTATTACATAATAGAATCAGAGCGTTTTAAGAGTTGAAAGGACCAGAACTTAGAACTCTCATTATTTGAGTAGGTATTTTTACATACTTAACACTCAATAGTAATATGTACAGCAAAAGCTGTGATATTATGTTCCATAAAACAAAAAATTTAAATATTCATAATTTATAAATACTTTAAGGTTCTACTTTTTGGTTTTAGCAATTTTGAAAGTAATTTCTCAATTCCTTGCTCCCTTAACACTCTAGATCAGGGGTCCTCAAACTTTTTAAACAGGGGGCCAGTTCACTGTCCCTCAGACCATTGGAGGGCCGGACTATAGTTTAAAAAAAAACTATGAACAAATTCCTATGCACACTGCACATATCTTATTTTGAAGTAAAAAAACAAAACGGGGACAAATACAATATTTATATTTGCATGTGGCCCACGGGCCATAGTTTGAGGACCCCTGCTTTAGATTTATAGCATACTTGTCCATGTAAATTGTTTTCAGGCTACCCTTGAAATCTAGGCTATCCTAAAATTTAAGAAATGAAATTCTACTTCTAAAATCTAGAACTTCAGTGAAATTAAGTTCCCCAAGTTGGGGTTTATGTGCACCTTCACTCACCACTCTGAACATGCAGTTAAGTCTCTTCTGTACTTAAGCTGCAATCTGCACTAGTCCAAGCTCGCCGAGTGAGCCCAATTTCAGTTACGGAAGGCCCTGAGCAGCTTTCAAAGCTAAGCCTTCTCTTCTCCACATCCTTGTTTTGAAGGTACGAAGAAGAACACCACAACTGCTACAGTTACACCCTCACATTCATTAACTGCGTTCTGGCCACAGAAGGCAAGGAGCAACTGGACAAGAATGAGTTCACGGAGAAATTTGTGGTCCCCAGGACCAGGAAGGCTTCCAAGTACATCACGCTGTACCGGGCGATAGAGGAGCATGGCTTCTACGTGATCAACCACCCGGATCCAGAGCCAAGTCCTCCTCCGGGGGGTGGTTTGTGCTGAGTGCGCTGTGGAAAAGCAGAAGGGACAGGATATTTGGGGTTGACTACTTTTAATAGATCATAGAGCTTTCTAAATACAGTAACCTGTGGTTAATTTAAAAAAAAAAAAAAAAAAAAAAAAAAAAGCAGCCGAACTGGTTTGGCTCAGTGGATAGAGCGTCGGCCTGCGGATTCAAGGGTCCCGGGTTCGATTCCGGTCGGGGGCATGTACCTTGGTTGCAGGCACGTCCCCACTGTGGGGCGTGCAGGAGGCAGCTGATCGATCTCTCTCATTGATGTTTCTAACTTTCTATCCCTCTCCCTTCTTCTCTGTAAAAAATCAATAAAATATATTAAAAAAAAAAAAAGTGATAGGGCTTCCCTTTAAGCATACTTCAGTTTACTGCAGTATAAGAATTTACAAAATTAATAAAAATTGCCCTGGGTTTTCAAAATTCTTTTCATAGAATTTCACTTTTCAAACTGAGAATCCATGTTAAAGCATAAAGTGGCAGCATATTTTATGCCCAGAACAACAAAAACTCTTCCTATAAATTAATTAGAGCTGAATAAATTCACCTTTCCATGTGAATCCAGAAGGTGGGGGCACTTGTAAGAAGGTGAGCAAGACATCTACAATTTATGAAATAATGAGTATTTTCACCTCAATGTTTTTCTTTGAAACGCACAGTGTAACATCTTGATGGTCAACAATAGGGGAAAAAAGGAAAAAAAAAAGAAAAGGTCTCAGAATCTCAGTTAGGCAATGGGCACCCCTGAATTAGCCTTTCCAATCCATACGCACAAACTGGATTGGCAATTCCTCAGAAGCCAAACACCAGTCGGTTTCCTTCTCATTTTGCCTGACCTGACAGGAGGTCAGCGGCTGGGTTTACTACATACAGCACCTTCTCTTCCCACTTTAAGTGCCACTTCAGAAAGGACTCATTGAAGGGATGTCTTGTTTTTCTAATAATCAGGAGAAGAAAGGGGAAAGCTGGGATAAACAACTAAAAAGAAACGAGGTGATTTTAACAAGCTTGTTAGAATTTGTATATTCAAATAATCATGACACGTTAAACAGCCAATCAGCAAAACATTTCAGAATTCCTCCTTGGAACCTGCTGCCAGAAATCACTTTGTTTTTGCCAAATGTGATCGACTCCACCACATCTTCTCCAGCCCTGGGCACCACGTGATGTCTCACTTCTGAAAACCAAATCCATCCTCAAGGTACTCAACTTCAAAGCACCAACCTATCTTCAATGTACCCCACCATCACAGTACCAATAATTACTTAGTAATATAGATATTCAGGAAACTTGCTACAGACCCTTAAAGCCTGCTTCCAAAGAGGTGTTTGGTCAACGTTTCAGCAGTGGCAACTTCAGTGGGAAAAAACACAGGCACATCAATATTTGTACTTGTAAGTGCTGGTACTTTACTACACTTGATCTTAGCCAAAAGGCTGAGAAGCGATAGGTTCTGGTACTTTAGAGAAAAACAAAACTTCCCACCCAGAGCATGACACCATTTATTTTTTTTAAAAATATATTTTTATTGATTTCAGAGAGAAGGGAGAGATAGATAGAAACATCAATGATGAGAGAGAATCATTATCTGCGACCTCCTGGTTCATAGGTCGACACTCAACCACTGAGCCAAGCCGGCTGGCGAACATGATACCACTTTAAACAGAACAGCTATTCTGACTGCTATTCTGTGGTGTTCAAGGATTTGTAAAGATCTCAGTGGGTAAATATAAAAATGTGTTGAGTTTGGGGAATAGTATTCCAATTTGCCCTTGATCTCAACATGCTTAGTATTCCCCTTCTCTCGTCCCATTCTTCACCTGATTATTGGTAATCATAGCAGCTGCAGTTAACAAGTATTCATAAAGGTCTCCACACCAGAATGAACACTTATTCTTCCCTTTCACTTAAGACCACCTGTGAAGTAGGCACTAACATTATGCTGGCATCATTTTACAGATGAAAAGGGAAACTGAGGAAACAGTGGCAAAACCAGGGTTGAAAGACGTTTGACTGCAAAGTCCATGCACTTAACTCCTGGGCTACCTGGTGACCTGGTACCCAGGATATGCAGCAACTGGGCCAGTAATTTTTGCATTAGCGAAGATAAAAGCGAAAATAAGGGTTTTGCTTTCATCAACATTCAGATTCGGAGAGGAAGTAATATGTCATAAAAAGCAATTCAGATAAGATCAATATTAGGAATGCCAATTCATGCTACTGTCTTAGTGCTACATCCCTTTTCAAAGCTGCCACAGTCCCCACTCTCTACTTTAGAGGCTGCTCTCCCACCTGGAGGTGACTCTGGCAGTAGTCGGCCTGTTATTTCTTCTCTTCAGCAGGCTATAAAGTCCCTGCTGGTAATGTCACAATACCACCCTCCAGTGTTTACCCCAATAAAGGAAATTAAGCATCTCATAACACCAATAGATGGCAATGTTGCTCTGTTCTTAGAATGATAAACTGAGAATCTGATTGTTTCTTTATCATGCCTTGAGAAGGACGAGGAGACTCAGCGTTGGTACCAGCTCTGCTTCCCAGATGAAGTCTCAGAGTTCTCCCTGCCACCTCCCCAGACGCACTTCATCTCAGCACTTAGCACTGACCCACGCACACATGGTCTTCCCTCAATGCTTATGGGATGACAGACCACTGGGCTCCTTTTCACAGAGAGGTCAGAGTTTGTCTCAGTGCTACTGATTTGATGACCCACACAAAGGTATTTTTCCAAAGCCTCTACAGTGTGCATAAATTACTATTATAACCAAGAAAACCCAAATCAACATCACTTTAAAAAGCCCACAGAGACCATATCTAGCTCCCTTAATGCGGGAAGTGCTTGCTACCTCACCTTCCCCCATCTTCAGAGCTGTCTTCACTTTACCTCAAACTATTTTTCTATCACCTCCTTCTCCATTGTGTTACCTACCAGGGCATACACTAGAGAAATGGTTATGGTAATGCTTATGCTTTTGGTTTAGTTTATCTGAAAGGGGAAAAGGTATACCTACCAGGCACTGGATCCTTTCATATGTCCTCTCATTTCGTCTGCAAAACAAACACAGGAGGCACTGGTCACCCTCACTTCACAGCTGAGGAAACGGAGACTCAGAGTGATTAGGCAATGCTTCCAAGTGGCCACTTTCCTAGGCTAGACTTAGAGTTTGGACCAAGTGCTCCCGATGCCGCTGTGTCTACTCTGTCAGAATGTACATTTACGTTAGGAAAGAGATCTACCTTTGCAACATTGTTTCAGAATATGTAAACATTCCAAAAAATGTAAATGCTTAAAGCTTTCCACTTAAAAGAATTTAGATAGTATTGCTTTGAAATAAAAAAATATTACCTCTTAGTTTAGCCATTTCACAAAGGTGTTTTTTCATATCATGTATTTTTAAGTGATGCATCCCTATATTTCACAAAATGGTAACAAGACTTAAAATGTTTTCAGCGTATATATAAAAAGCAAAGATTTAAGCTAAATTGATGGGTTTAAATCTCTTAATTTTAGAAATGGGCATCAGAGTTTTAAATAAGTTAACATTCATGGGATAATGACTTGAGTCTGTAATCAGATTTCTACATATTCAGTTTGGTTGGTAAAATCATAAATGGTAGGTGGGTGGTAGGGAGAGGCATTTCATTTCTTTTTACCCTAAGTACTCCCCCATGAGGGAAAACTTCCCCCACGAGGGAAAAGTTAAAAACCACATTCAAGTAAATGATAGCATTTTTTTTTAAAAAAAGAATGAAAATGCTTTAACAATAAAGGCAAAATAATTAGGAATTATTTTGTCAAAATAATTATGACAAAAATAAAAACTAATCAGTAAGTAACAAGGAATTTTCAGACTCCTATACTAGGCTCAAAATCACGGGGAAATCTAACCAAAAGCAGCCTGATAAGCCTGCCTGAAACTGTGTCCCATTCATGTAGATTTAATCCCTACCAAGGGTTATGTTTGAACCAATTACTTTACAGAAGTGAAATTCTTTAGGGAGAACTCAGGGCAGTAAAGGCACAGATGTCACCATTTCCCCTCACAGTTTGGGGATGAGGGCAGAAAATGTTAGCCTCTAAAATTGAAGCTCAGAGAATCAACATACAATAATCAACTGCACAAGTAACTGCCTTAATAGAGGACACAATGACTCATCCCCTATCATGAATCATCACAGCTGCAAAGGACTAAAAGCACATTATTACCTGGGCACTGTGCTAATAAGCACCTCGTAAGGACCAATCCACACAATCCTCCCGTAATCCTCTGGGGTTGACAACATTAATATTATTTTTATTGAGGTGAGATTCATATTACACTAATAATGATTATAAAGCAAAAGATTCAGGGGCATCTGATCTCTAATTACAATCAGAGAGCATGGCTTCCTGCCCCCCTTCCCAAGCCGGCATCCGGGGCAGTTGGCCCCTGACATGTCCTTATCCAAGACCCCGTGCAGCCAGTTGGCACAGCGCGTAAGGCACCTTTTCACCCACTTCGTTCAAAAGCTTCACTGGGAGTTAAAATGACTGTTTCCTGCTGACAAGCCAGTGGTTGGATTAGAACATCTGTGCCAGCCTCTTCAAGCTCCATCATTTTAAAATTCACTCAAGGGACAATGAAAAATCAGTTTGACATGGGACAGTGTTTTTAAAGTGTTATCAACCAGAAATATATATTTTTTCAATTAATTAAATCTTTATTCAGATTAAAAAAAAAAGATTCAGGGGCATTTAGTACATTGTGCAACCCCCTCTATTGAGTTCCAAGTCATTTCATCACCTGAAAGGTGATTCTGTACCATAAGCTCCTCGGCCCTCTCCCCACACTGCCCCTAGTCACCACCAATGTGTTCTCTCTCATGGATTTACCTGTTTGGGGTATATAATTGGGACCAAACAATACATAACGTTTTGTGTCTGGCTTCTTTCACTTGGCTTGTTTTCGGGATTCATCGCCGTTGTAGCATGTCAATACTTTTTTGGGGGTGGCTGAATAGCATTCCATTGTATGTGTACGCTGATAACACTAACTTCATCTGATAGATGAGGAAAACTGAGGTTAAGATTGTAGGGCCAGTAAGTGGATGAGTTGGGATGCAAACCTGCATCT